TCATTCTCTCTCTCTCAAATAAATAAAATCTTAAAAAGAAAAAAAAAAAGACTGAACCAGAAGCTAGTCCATGAAAGCATTTTCCAAAACATAGCTAACATGAATTAAACTTTGTGAAAGTTTTCACAAATTTCCAAAATGTCTCGATGACATCACCCATACTGACTTGTGAAGGTGAAACTTTTTCTAAACTATAAGGACTAAAAGAAAGTTCCATCAAGCGTACTAGAGGGAAGATAAGTTACTTTTCTCTTCTCTCTGCAGATTAGGATATTATGAAATAAGTATTTGCAGCCAACAAAGTAGGCGACTACCACAGAGGTGTGTCAGGCAGTAAATTAATAAAAACATTACGTTATCTTTTGGGATTTTGCAATGTTTGTGGTATTTGTCAGCCCTTCTAAATACGTAATTTGTTATTATTTCATATTCTAAATTTTCACGTTCATACCCAATTTAAAAAAAATATATTTTATTTATTTATTAGAGAGAGAGCGAGCACAAGTAGGGATAAAGGCAGAGGGAGAAGCAGACTCCCCGCTGATCAGGGAGCCTGATGCGGGGCTCGACCCCAGGATACTGGGATCATGACCTGAGCTGAAGGCAGACGCTTAACCGACTGAGCCACCCAGGCGCCCCTCATACTCAATTTTGTTAGTAATTTTGTATTTCTTTTAGGGAACTCTCCCCTCCCATACTCCCCCACCAAACTCTGTAAATTCTATCAGCCCTGTTGATGACTCATTGGCTCAAAATAGGAATACGTTCCCAAGCTGTGTGATCCCCGGGCAGTGGCTGTACCTCTCTGAGACTGTTTCCTTAATAGCAAATTGGGGATCATAGCAGCCCCTACACCGCAGGGTTGTTGTTAAGTTTAAATAAGCCGAGGCCTGCAAAGCGCTTAATGCTGGTTTGGAACGCACTGAGCAACGATAAACCTCTGCCCCTCTTTACGCTTAGAACTTCCCTGCAGCTTCCGGACCCGCGGCGGCCAAGACCTTCCTGTGCGCATGTGCCGCCGACTCTCTTTCAGCCCGCCCCCCCTCGTGGGCGCGTCTAGTCCGCTGCAGGGGGTGATGGGCGGAGTCAAGGGGCTACTTCCAGGATTTCCTCCCCCTCCGAGGAACAACCCGCTTTGCATGACTGGCAGTAGGGATTAGCCAGTAATGATTGGAGAGAAGACCGACGACCAGGCCCATGTAGGAATCTCTCATCCGAGTTGGCCAATTGCGAGCTTTGGAAGGCGGGTTCGTCTCTGAGGCGGGACACGGAGTGACGGGCGTCTGTTTTGACTAATGAGAACCTGTCTGCAAGTAAGCCAGGGCCAGTCAGAAGCGAGAAGGCCGGATCCTGGGGCGGGGCTGGAGCTTCGGCAGTTGAACTGCTCGCGAGGAGGGGTGTCTGTGGAGAAGGTGAGAGGCGGCGGGAGTGGCGGGTGCGCGGGCCAGGGTGGGGATCCTGGGGGGAGGGGATGCTCTGGGGGAGGGTGGGCTGCGGCGGGCAGCTGACCAGGCAGTGTAGGAATCGGGAGGGGTGACCTTTAACACGGATAGGCACTTTGACGTGGGTTTGTGAGGCAGAGGGCAGTATCTGAGTCGGGGGTGGGGGGAGATGTTTTGTATCTTGCAGGAGGGTCTTTAATGGGGGAAAGTGTGTAAAGCTGGAGACAGCAGGCGGTAAAATACAGAAATTCCCCTGTAATATAGCCTTGTGATTTAATGGGAGGTTTTGAGGCGAGGGGTTATTGTAGCGCGGTGTGGAGGAGCGGAGGTCCTTGGGATGAGTTACAAGCTTTGATGTGCGTGGAGGGCAGGTGAAGCACTACGGAGGGAGAGAATGAGTGAGGACTTCGAGGATGGAGGTGTGCTTTAGGGAGGTGTGAAGCCACATGATACATGCAGCGTTTACTCAGGGCTTACTATGTGCCAAGTTTTGTATGAGTTACTCTTAAACTTCCTAACACCCCTCCCGGTGGTTAAGACTGTGGGCTCTGGAGTTGGGTTGCCTGAGCTTAAATGCTGGCTTTGCCACTGGCCCTGCCACTGAACGTCAGGGTGGCTTTGGGCAAATTCTTTAACCCTCTGTGCCTCAGCTTTTAGCATGCTTAGAATGACCTCATCTCTTCTCTGTCTGTACCACTCACCTAGTCTCTTGGCTTCACATGCTCTTTATATAATGATAACTCCCAAGTGCCGGCCTGCAGTCTGGATCTCTCTGAACTCCAGACTCATTTGTCCAATGGCTGACTCTTCTCTACTTGGAAGTCCAACTGCCATCCATGCTTTAAAAACTTGTCCCTAACCAAACTTGTAGTTTCCCCCTTCCAAACCCAGCTGATGGCAGTTCTATTCTTCCAGGTGCTCAAGACAAAAATCCTGGAGTTGTCCTTGACTCTCCCTTTTCCCTTTCCTGCATGCCATCCGCCAATCAGCAAATCTCATGGGTCTATCTTCAGAACACTTCCAGAATCCAGCTGTATCTCACCACCTCCCTTGCTGCTCTGATTCATGCCATCACTTGCCCTTACCTGGTCTGTTGCAGTGGCCTCCTCGCTGGCCTCTGCCCTGGACCCCACAGTTGGGGGTTCCTGTTGAAACAAAAGTCAGATCATGTTACTCCCTGGTCCAGGCACTCCCGTGGCTCCCACCTCACACAGTATAAGTCCTTGCTAAGCTCATAGTGCTCCACCTTATCCAGTTCTCCCTCCAGCCTGCCCTCAACTCCTGCCATTCTCCCCTGTTGACACTGCTTCAGCCACCCTGGCTTCCTTGTTCTTCAGACATAGCACATACATTCCCACCTGGGGAGTGTCATTGCTGTGCCCTCCGTCTGGATCATGTTCCCTCTAGATGTCTACATGGCTTCTCCCTCACTTCCTTAGGTCTCTGTTCAAATGTCAAATCCACAGACAGGCCCTCTCTGACCACCCAAGCTAAAATAGCTCCTGTTATTTCCTGGCGCCTCATCACCTGGTTTTGCTTTTCTTCAGTAACACTTACCAGTACCCAACATATATTAGGGTTTGTTTATATCCCCTGGCTTCTTAGACTCCCACCCCCCACTAGAGTGTTGACTCCATGAGAATATAGAGCTTAGCACCTAGAAGGACCCATAGATGCTTAAAAAGTGTTACCTGTATTACACCGTCAACACCCCCCTGGGCGGGGGGCGGGGGGAGGCTCCCTGTAGTATAGGGCAGGGTTGTTGAGCTGGGAGAGTCTTGGGTGGGGTGGTGGCGTCAAGAGGGGGTAATAAACTGGGCAGGTAATAAACTGGGAGGAAACAGAAGGGTATCCAGGGGCAGAAGCTCTCAGATCTCAGAGCTGGGAGAGCTTGGAGGAAATGCAGATTCCTGGGCCCACTCCCAGAGGTTCTGCTTCTGTAGATTTGGGATCATGCCCAAGATCCTGCATTTTTTTAAGTCAAGCACCCGTGTTCATGCTGAAGGTCTGCAGTCCTCTCGAAGAAACAGACCAGTTCGGAGCTTGGACTGGAGCTCTCTCATCATTAAACTACCCCTCTGGGGCTGCCCCTCTGCCAAGCAGTGCCGGGGACACTGGTGATTGAAACAGCTCTTTACCTAGCCTGGGAGTCAGGGAGGGCTTCCTGTGGGAATGGACATTGGAGTTGGGACCTGATGACAAAGCAGTGAGCTGAGGGGAGAGGACCTTGGCTGTATCTCCAGTGCCTAGAACCCCGTTTCCTGGCATCTCGCATAAATTCACAAGTAGTCCCTGATCTGTGCCAGGCCCAGGGTGCTGAAGATACAAGAATGATCAAAATGGCTCTGCCCTCTTGGGCTTCTGGTCTGTCAACTAATCGTCAGCTAGTTGCACAGATGGTAAACAGCTGACCAGGTGCCAGGCACTGTTTGAAACTCCTTACATGTATTAATTAATTTAATCCCCACAATCACCCTATGTGAGATGGGCCCTCTTATTATCCTCACTTTACTGGTGGGAAAAACCCAGAGAGGCTAAGCGCCTTGCCGTGGGTCACATTGTGGGTAAGTGGTGGAGCAGGAGCTGAACCCAGGAGTCCCTTTCCCGCAGTGTGTGTCATGTTTAAGGTCCGAGGCCACACATAAGGATTGGTGCCTGGAGGGAAAGGAGCAGAGAGTAATGGGAGGAAACAGAAGGGTAGCTGGGTAATGGGAAGCCCCTCACTTCAGGATTCTAGGCATATCTCAGTTTCATCCTCTGTAAAATGGGGGATGGTTACAGCATCTACCAGAGAACAGAATTAAGGACAAGTCACTGGTTGATGGATGTGTGTAGTCCTGTTTGAGGGATAGTAGGGGGGAGGTTTGGATATTCCTGGGGGGGGGGGTGTGGTGGGCTGCAGTGTACACTATGGAGGGGCAGATCATGAGGAGTCCTTAAAGGTTTTTGTGTTTATATATTCCAGGGGGACATTGTGGAAGGCTCTGGTCTATATTCTGGGGGAGTGCAGAGTGAAGGGAGGGGAATTCTAGCCAGCTAAAACTCACTCACATGGCGGGGAGGGGTCACTCCGGCCAGGCCAGTGTGTGCATGTGAGGTGGGGGGTATACTGTATAGGAGAGGCCAGCTAGGTCATGGCCAGGCTGAAATATGGGGTGTTGGCGGGAGAGGGTGCCGCAGACAGTGCGAAATAGCCATCAGGAGTGGGGGCTGACAGAAGTGGTGATTTACCCGTGTCCTGTGTGGGAGATGGTGATGTGGATTTGTTTTGGGGGAGCCCAGCGTGGAGGATTCTCAGCTTCCACCCTAGGGCGAGGGCTGCGAAGTCTGAAATATCCAGGGAGCGCTATTGGGAGGAGGAGGAGCCAGGGACCGTGATGTAACCCTGGAAACCGAGAGGGGAGTCACCTTAGTGAAAGATGAGAGGGAAAGGCCCCGGGGTCGGAAAGCTGAGTGTGCTTGTGCGTGTGTGCGCGCGCGCGTGCGTATGCGTACGTGTATGTGCGTGTGTGCTGAAGCCGTGATGTCACGAGGCCCGAGAAATGGGATCAGGTGTGTGGGCCAGAGTGGGGTGCTGGGGTGTGCACGCGGAGCTCGCAAGGTTGAAGTGCTGACGTCACGGGTTGGCGAGGGCGGGGCCTCGAATGCAGGGTCTAGAAGCTGAGACGCAGAGGAGCTAGGAGAGTCTTGGGACTGGAACGAAACCAGCAACCAGGATGGGCCACTGGTCACAGAGCAAGGATGGAGGATGCAGGTAGAAGGACAAGGGGGGGGGGCGTGGAAGGAGGGAGGGGCGCGGGGCCTGGGGAATCCCAGAATTGGGTGGGGGGGGCTGTCCTGGGAAGGCTCTGCAGGGAAGAGAGGTGGAAAATGTGGGGAGGGGGAGAGAGGGTTTACATAGAATTTGGGAGGGAACAGAATCCAGGTGAAATATGGGGATAATGTAAGACAGGCTGAGAATGGGGTAGATCCCCACTGTGGAGTAGAACCTTGGGCGAATATGCAGGCAGAATAATAGGAGGGAGCAAAATTCAGGTAGAATATGGGGGAAACCCCAGGAGAACATGGGGGCTGGTGTACAGAGAAGGGGAATGTGGCCCCCTGCCCCCAAACTGGGAGAGCCGAATGGCAGTAAGGGACTTGGGGAAGGGAGAGGAGAGGGCTGGTTTCGGGAACGTGGTAGAAGGGGTGAGGCGGGAATATGGAGGGAGGGAGGTTCTGCAGCGGGGAGGGGAAGGGAGTCCAGAATCTCTAGGCCCTCTGGGGAATGAGTGATGGGGAGCTGGCCGAGGTGTCGGGTTTATTTCATCAGCAAGTGTTGAGTGCTCACGACAAGCTGAGAAGAGGGGATGAGGGGAGGGGAACGGGCGAAGTTTGTGGAGGTGTGGGAGGCAGTTGTGTGTAAGGGGACAATGGAATTCGGGGGGACTATTCAGAGGCTTAATATCTGGGGACTGAGATGGAGGCTAATGACATCAGGGCAGTTGGATACGGAAAGGCCCTGTGATTTAGTGAAGGGCTGCTATTCTCTGGAAGAGAATGGGGAGCTTATGCGGGGAAGTGGGCAAGGAGGAGAGCAGGGCAGGGTTGGTGGTGGAGATGGGGTGGGACGGGCCCCTTTAGTCCTCTCTCCTCCCTGGAGTTCGGTACCACGAGGGGTTGGTGAATTGGGCAGTGAAGCTGTGCGGCTCCCCAGGCGTTCTGCAGGTACCTCCAACGCCTTGGTAACCAGAACGGCGCGACTGCTGATTGGCTCGCGGAGCTGGAGGGGGCGAGGTCGGAGGCGGTGTCTAGGATACCCGGTGGGGCGGGGCCAGCGCTGCCTGGCACCCACACTGAGGACCAGGGGATGCGAGATATGCTGAAACGTGTAGCTGTTTGTTTGCCTATAGGTCAGGGACTATTAACCCCACCTCTGAACCTACAGAGAATGTGAGAGTACCTAATTGTGAGAGTGGATTTTCAAGGGGAAGAGGTCTCTCGATTTCATCAGCCACTTCCAAACACGAGAGACCCCTCTCCCAAATAAACTTAAGAGCTTGGGTCTAGAGACAGAGGAGCCTGCCAGAATGTCTGGGGGCTTTGGCGATTGTCCTTGGGTCTTTGATAAAGGGGATGTGTGGATGGGCCTCAGGGTGGTATTCTGGGAGCCCCTGAAATTATTTGCAAAGGGTTGTGGGCCTATTCATTTATCTGGGGAGGGTTCAGAGATCTCACTAGACTATCAAAGGTGCAAAGACTCTTAAAAGGTTAAAAACCACTGAGCTTGAGTTTCAGGGCTCATCATTTTCTGGCCTCACAATATTATATTTTCTGATATCAGCCTTTAGGAGGACTTCTTGGGGAAAGTGTGAGGAGCAGAGGATGTGGCGGAGTGAAGGAGACCAGGCTTTGGAGGGGTCCCCATGATCTGGTTTAGGGCAGCCCTGGGTAGTTCTGTTTTTGGGGCAGCTGTGGGACTCCACTGAGTCTCAGTTTCCCCATCTGTACACTGGGAAGAAAAATGGGGAAGAAAAATGGGCTTGCCTTGTTTCTGTACTGCCTTTCAAGACACAACAACAAAGAAATCATGATAATGATAATGATAATAATGCCAGTATGTATATGAGTGCTTGCTGTGTGTCAGGCATTGCTCAATTTGTTCAAAGATTTTAACGTGATTAACTCATTGAATCCTTACACCAATCCAAGGAGATGAGCACTGTTACCCTTCTATGGGCTTACAGAGACCTGCATGAGCATCATCTGGCCCATTATATCTCATCTAGGTCCCTCCCTGATGCTGACCTTGCTGTTCTTAGAACAAATCAGGAACATCCCACCTTGGAGCTCTTGCTTGGGTGTTCCCTTTGCTGGATACTCTTCCCCCAGATATTCACCCATCTCCTTACCCCTCTCTAGGCCTCTCCTGAGAGAGGCCTTCCCTGGCTACCTTAGCTGAAAGAGCAACCCCTACCCCCAGCATCTCCTTTTTCCACTACTTCACTTTTTTTTTTTTTAAGATTTTATTTATTTATTTGACAGAGAGAGACACAGCGAGAGAGGAACACAAGCAGGAGGAGAGGGAGAGGGAGAAGCAGGCTTCCCGCTGAGCAGGGAGCCTGAAGCAGTGCTCGATCCCAGGACCCTGGGATCATGACCTGAGCTGAAGGCAGACGCTTAACAACTGAGCCACCCAGGCGCCCCTACTTCACTTTTTTTTTTTTTTTTTTGACATTTTATACCTCTGACTGTTGCCGCCCTCTTGAGAGTAGGGGCATAATCTGGTTTCTCATCATATCCCCAGCACCCAGGATGGCATGTGCTTTAAAGATAAGGAATCTGGCTCCAAGAGAGGTTAAGTAACTTGCCTGTGTATGTGCACATAGCTAAAGCTAGATATGAACTCAGGCAACCCGGGGCTCTCATTCTGAATCATCCCCTAAAATCCAGGCCGAAGGCAGAGATCTGCTCCTCTCTTCCACCTCATAGAACTAACAGCGAGTCGTAGCCCTATTGCCTAAGAGAAGGTACTTAGGCTTACAACAGGCCAATTAATAAAATAGATTATTAATTCATTGGACATGATTTAAGTGTATCATTGATAATACATAGTGCTGCTGTTCTCTCGACTCAGACCACTTTCCCTAGATAGCCATTTAGCATGCTCCCTGCCTTCCTTCAGTTCTCTGCCTGTAGGTTACCTCCTCAGGGAGGCCTGCCCTGTCCCCCTACCTAAAATCTGCCCTGTCTGACCTCAGTACTCTCTGTCCCCCCATGCAGCTTGATTTTTCTCCACAAAAAAATTTTTTAAAAGATTTTATTTATTTATTTGACAGAGAGAGACACAGCGAGTGAGGGAACACAAACGGGGAGTGGGAGAGGGAGAAGCAGGCCTCCCGCGGAGCAGGGAGCCTGATGCAGGGCTCGATCCCAGGACCCTGGGATCATGACCTGAGCCGAAGGCAGACGCCTAACCATCTGAGCCACCCCGGTGCCCCTCCACAAATGTTTGAATGAATGAATGAATAATTAATATATAATGAGTGTAAGGATTAATAAATTAATAATAGTATTAATCATGATTCTCTTGTCAGAAATCATATATTCTGGTAGCCAGCATGTGTTGGGCATGGACACAGTTCAAAATGCTTTTATGTGTATTGTCCAATTTAATCCTCATGACAGCTCTGTGAGATAGATAACCACTATTATACCCATTTTCCAGATGAGGACATTGAGGCACAGAGAGGGAGTCTCTTTCCTAAGGTGCCAAAGCTGGTAAATGGTGGAGCCAGGATATGAATTCTGGCCTTCCTGCTTCCGAGCCTGGGCTCTCAGCCCCTCTGGGTCTCTGTCTCCTCCCTTTCTCCAGTGACACCGGCCATGGACCAGCCAGCTGGCCTGCAGGTGGACTACATCTTCCGGGGTGTGGAGCATGCTGTGCGGCTGGTGGTGTCTGGACAGGTGCTGGAGCTGGAAGTGGAGGACCGGATGACGGCTGATCAGTGGCGGGGCGAATTCGATGCCAGCTGTGAGTGTGCCGGCCTGGGGTGGGTTCACCTGTCCTTCCCTGGGATCACCTTCTCCCTGAAGATGAGACCAGCTCGGAACCTGCCCATCTGCCTCTTCTACCTGACCAGAGACTCTCTGAGGTGGGGAGGGGGAGTGGAGGCCTCATCCCTCAGGCCAGAGGCACTGGAGTTGGGGAAAGTTGAAAAGCTTGGATGCATTGATCTTGGGCTGGGCAAGTGGTTAGACTCCAGGAAGGACTTTTCTCTCTACCCAGTCATTGAAGATCTGACTCATAAGACGGGGAACTTCAAACAGTTCAATATCTTCTGTAACATGCTGGAGTCGGCTCTCACCCAGGTAGGGGCCAGGGCTGGGGGGCCAGGGGAGGTTTCTGTTTTCTGGATCCCTGGGGAGGTAGATGCCCATCTGATGAATGCAAGACCCTCTACTTTCTCTTTCCTTAAAGGGACAGGGCTGTCTTTTTCTTTCCCAAATGTTAAGTGGTTTATTCTGATCCTAGTGATAGTTACTCTCATGTAGAAAATTCATGTCACAGAGAAATGTAAAGAAGAGAGTAAAAATCACTCTACTCCTAATACTCATTCCTGGTAATATTTTATTAATATTTTGGTGAAAATCATTCCAGTCATTTTTCCACTTCTTTGTTTACTTGTGAAAATGTGTGTGTGTGTGTATTTGCAGATATACAATTTTATATAGTTGGCATACTTCCCAAAGTATTCTTTAACCTGCTTTTAAAAAATTCAACAATATTTCATAAACATTTAGCCACATCAGTGAATATAGGTACTCATTTGTGTCATTTTTACTGAGTATTTACAGTGTGCCAGGTGCTGTGGTAAACAGTGGGATACAGCAGTGAACAAAAGAGACAAAATTCCTGTCCTTACGAAGCTGACATTCTAGTGGGAGAAACAAAAAATTGAAAAAATATATAGTGTCAAGTAGTTAAAAGTATTAATAGAAAAAAAATCAGGTTGGAAGTTAGAGTGGCAGGGATGCTATTTAGACATCATTTTAAAACTATGAACTACATTATTCCTCTGATGATAGATAAAATTTGCACTCATAAAATTATGACAGTGTTACAGTGTGTGATTTAGAAAGCGACAGTCTCTTATAATCCCCTTTCTGTCCCCTACTTTAGACTGTTAACATTTTACTATGTGTAGGCAGTATAGCATAATGGCCAAGAGCATGAACTCTGAAGTCAGACTCATCACTGCTACTTACTAGCTGGGAGCCCTGGACCAGTTACTTCCCCTCCATGCCTTAGTTCTTTCTTCTTTCTTTCTTTCTTTCTTTCTTTCTTTCTTTCAGAGAGAGGGAGAGAGAGAGAGAGAGTACGCACAAACAGGGGCAGGGGGGTGGGCAGAGGGAGAGAAAGAATCTTAAGCGGGCTCCACACTCAGTGCAGAGCCTAATATGGGGCTCAATCTCTTGACCTTGAGATCATGACCTGAGTGGAAATCAAGAGTTGGATGCTTAACTGACTGAGCCGCTGGGTGCCCCATGCCTTAGTTTTCTTAACTGTAATGGGGGGATAACAGTAATTCCTATTTCACAGTGTGGTGAAGATTAAATGAGTTCTATGTAAAAAGCTTAGAATAGTGTCTGGCTCATAAGTGCTTTACAGATATTGTCTTTTTATTATTGTCATCTACTTGTGAGTTTGTCTTCCTTGTTAGTGGTTGCTTAGTATTCCATTATACCCATGTGGCATGATTTGTTTAACCCAATGGTTCTCAAGTTTTTTGGTGTCATGACCTCTTATGCTCTTAAAAATTATTGAGTACATCAAAGAGCTTTTGTTTATGCAGATTTTATCTATCAATATTTGTTTGCCATATTATAGATTAAGTTGTTTTATAAATTAAAACTGAGAATAATTTAAAGATATTTATGAATTCACTTAAAAGTCACTGTAATAAACCAGTTATATGTTAAATAACATTTTTATGAAAAATACATTTTCTAAAACAAAATAAAATAGTAGGAAATACAGCATTGTTTTACATTTTTGCAAATCTCTTTAATGTCTTGCTTAATAGAAAACTGCTGGATTCTTTTTTTTTTTTTTTTAAGATTTTTATTTATTTGACGGAGAGAGAGAGTACATACAAGCAGGGGGAGCCGCAGGGAGAGGGAGAGGGAGAGGGAGGAAGCAGGCAGGGAGCCTGATGTGGGGCTCGTTCCCAGGACTCAGAGATTATGACCTGAGCCAAAAGCAGACACTTAACCGACTGAGCCACTCAGGTGCCCCAAAAACTTCTAGATTCTTATATGTGCTTCTGCATTCAGTCTTTTGTGATATGTTTTGGTTGAAGTATATGCAGGAAAATCTCACTCACATAGATATGTGGTTGGAAAAGGGAGTCCTTTAATCAGGAAATTGTACAGATCCTTCTTTGCTAAAATACTAAAAGTGGACAGGTGGTAATTTCTTAAAGATTTGTTGTAGTGTGGAGTCCAAAAGCCTATCAATGAACTTTTCATATTACATTACATTAAAATCTATTGATGTATCTTGAACTTCACTTGGATCTTTTATCCATTTTATGATATCATGCATTGGTCATTTAAAAAATACAGTTCACTGAGTTACGCAGATCTTCTGAATGTTGACACATTTCATTATACAATATCAGGAAGTCACGTTTGTTAATATCCTCACTGATCTCACCAGGGAAGTCTTTCTTTCTTTTCTTTTTTTTTTTTAAAGATTTTATTTATTTATTTGAGACAGAATGAGAGACAGAGAGCACGAGAGGGAGGAGGGTCAGAGGGAGAAGCAGACTCCCCGCCGAGCAGGGAGCCCGATGCGGGACTCGATCCCGGGACTCCAGGATCATGACCTGAGCCGAAGGCAGTCGCCTAACCAACTGAGCCACCCAGGCGCCCCCAGGGAAGTCTTTCAACATCAAGAAGCTATCAAGCACACAGCAGCAGATCCAAGTTTTCCAAAATTCTAATTTTTGCTGTGAAGTTTGAATTTTACCATTGGCAACAAATACCGTTAGCTGTTTTTCTTGAAGTGACAGGCTGACTTTGTTCATTTTTGAGAAAATGCCTGCCAGACATCCAAGTCTGAATAACCATAGTTATGTCTGTCAGTCGTTCTTTCAAGTAAAAATAGAGTTCCATGAAAAAGCGTCTAATTTAGCCCCAAACTCGGATTACACAAGTGTTCTTCCTGAGACAACTGTCATACTTTGGAATGCCACAGAATGTGTGCTTCCTTTCTTGTCACAGAGTAGTAAAAAGCCATGTACTCAAGGATGGAGATTCAAAAAAAATTAATAATTTTTACTGCTTCATCAAGAACATTCTAGGTTTGGGGTGCCTGGGTGGCTCAGTCGGTTAAGCGTCTGCATCTGCCTTCGGCACAGGTCATGATCCCAGGGTCCTGGGATTCAGCACCATGTCGGGCTCCCTGCTCAGTGGGGAGCCTGCTTCTCCCTCTCCCTCTGTCTGCTGCTCCCCCTGCTTGTGCGCTCTCTCTCTCTGTGTCAAATAAACAAACAAAATCTAAAAAAAAAAAAAAAAGAGGGACCATTCTAGGTTTGATTTCCTGTGTTAGGTTTGCTTGTTTCTTCTTCCTTCCCGGCCCCCCACTGAGACTGTGTGGCAACAGAGACTACAGGGGCTACCAGTATGCTTGATGCCACTGGCTTGATTTGTGCTAATGGGCACCTTCACTTTTACCACCATTATTTTGCACCATTGGTATAAATGTCAGCACAGCAAAAAAAGGCATATGACATCTTAGTATTATTATGATAATTGTTTTGACCTCATGGACTCCCTGAAAGGGTCTCGGGGACCCCCAGGGGTCTTTGGACAAGACTTGGAGAGCCACAGCACTAAGCTGCCCCCCCATGGTTGAGGGTTTAGGTTCTTTCCAGTTTCTCCCTCTGGCGTCCTTGTGCCAGCCCCTAGGGCAGGGCCATCTTTTTTTTTTTTTTTTTTT